ACACTGATTAAATTTGAGAGCTGCTAACATTGTTCTGGTAGCGTAGTGGTTACGAATCGGGCTGTGAACTGCAAGATCGGCAGTTCGAAACTATCAGCTGTTCTGTGGGAGAAAGATGAGGCTTTCTGCTCCCGTAAAGATTTACAGCCTCGGAAACCCTGTACAGGGTCGCTATGAGTTGGAAACAACTACATGGCACAAAACAAGAACAACAACAATTCAGAGTTCTAAATCCTGAAAATATTATATCTCTTAATGGAAACTATGTTATTCTGTGTAAAAACAGATCATACTGATGCATCATCAGAAAAGAGCCCATTTATCCTTTTGTTTCCTTTCCTCAAGGTATTTTTCTCTTTGTGATAACACGTTGTTGTTGTTGTTGTTGTTAAGTGCCGTTGAGTCGGTTCCAACCCACAGCGACTCTGTATAAGGTTTCTGAGGAGTGACTGGTGAGCTTGAACTGCCGACCTTGCAGTTCAAACGGCTTTGCAGTCTGGCGCATTAACCCACAACATCACACCAGGACTCCTGTGATAACATACTCCCTTATTTATTTTGGCTTAGTATAAGGTGACCCACACTTGTCTGTTAGTTTGTCATACTGTGATGGCTTGCTAGTGTTTTACTGTGATGCTGGAAGCTATGCCACTATTATTTTAAATACCAGCAAGGTCACCAAGTTTCAGCAGAGCTTCTAAGCTAAAACAGACCAGGAAACAGGTGGGCTATTTCTGAATGTTTACCAACTAAAAACTTTATGAAGAGTGTGGAACATTGTCAGATATAGTGCCGGTAGATGAAAATATGAAAAACAGCAAAACATTGTGAGTATGTACTGGAAGATGAGTCCGTCATGTTGAAAAGCACTCAAAATACAACTGGGGAAGATCTGCCTCCTCAAAGTAGAGTTGACCATGATCATACAAATACAGAAAGCTTTCGGGACCTTCATTGGCTGATGGAACACAACTCAAAATGAAGAGAAACAGAAGCAAACATCCATTAATAATGGGACCATGGAATGCACAAAATAAGAACCTGGGAAAATTGGAAGTTGTCAAAATGAAGTGGAATGCATATAGATCATTAGTAAGCTGAAATGGACTGGTACTGGCCATTTTGAATTGGAAAATAGAATGGTTTACTATGCCAGACAATAAATTCAAGAGGAATACTGTAGCATTCATCATCAAAAAGAACATTTCAAGATCTTGAAGTACAATGCTGTTTGTACTTCATATGTAAGTACATATGCTTACAAGGAAAAGCTGTTAATACCATTATTATTCAAATTAATGCACCAACCACTAAATCAGTGATGACGAAATTGAAGACTTCTACCAATGTCTTCATTCTGATCAAACACACAATCAGATGTACCGATAATTACTGTGATCGGAATACGAAAATTGGAAACCAAAAGGAAGAATCAGTAGTTAGAAAATAAAGCCTTAGAAAATGTGACAGAAATGATGCTACATAACACATGATAAACTTTGCAAGACTAATGACTTATTCATTGCAAATACTTTTTTAAAACAACATCAACAGATGGAATACACAGGAATCAAACTGACTACATCTGTGGGAAGAAACAGTGGAAAAACTCAATATTATCATCCAAAAAAAGACCAGGGGCCCACTGTGGAAAAGTCTTAAATATTCACTGATGAATATCAAAGACCCAAGCCTTCAATATGGATTGTACCTCAATGTATGAAAAAACAAAAACCCTCACCATTGAACCAATAAATAACTTCCATATAAATGAAGAAAAGCTTGATGGTGTCAAAGACTTCATCTTGCTCGGATCATCCATCAACACTACGACATAGTGTATTAGACAAATCTGCTGCACAAGACCTCTTTAAAGTGTTCAAGAGCGAAGATGTCAATTTGAGGACTACGGTGTGCCTGCACAAGCCACGGTATTTTCCATAACCTCATTTGCATGCTGGACAGTAAAGTTGGACAGTAAATAAGGAAGACTGTAGAAGAATTGATGCATTTGAGCTATGTTGTTAGAAGAGATTATTAAAAGTATCACAGACTGCCAAAAGAACAAACCAATCTGTGTTGGAAGAAGTAGAACCAGAATGCTCCTTGGAAGTCAGGATGGTCAGACTTCGTCTCTCGTAGTTTGGGCATATTGTCAGGAGGGACCAGTCCCTGGAGAAGAACATCATGCTTGGCAAAATGGAGGGGCAGAGACCAAGAGGACGCCCTCCAATAAGGTGGATTGGCACAACGATGAGCTTAAATGTAGTAATGTTTGTGAGGTTGGCACAGGACCGGGCAGTGTTTAGTTCTTCAGTGCACAGGGTGGCTATGAGTTGGTATCAACTCCATGGCACCAAACAGCAACAACATTGCTGTTGTTAGGTGCCATTGAGATGGTAGCGACTCATAGCGACCTTATGCACAGCCTAACCAAACACTGCCTAATCCTGGGCCAACCTGACTATTGTTGCCACACTTTAGCCCATTGATGCTGCCACTTTGCCAATCCATCTCGCTGGGGTTCTCAGGTTTTTGGTGCACTGTGATTGTATAGTGGTTAGTACTCTGAGTTTTGGCCGCAGCAACCTTAGTTCGAATCTGAGTCACGGCATTTTACAGTAACAACATATGTATGTGAAAATTGGACAATGTATAAAGAGGACCATAAGAGAACTGATTTCTTACAGCGTTATCCATTATAATTATAGTGTGGGAGAAGAATATTAAAAGTACCATGGACTGCCAGAAGAACAAATAAATCTATCCTAGAAGTTCAGCCAGAATGGTCCTAAGAAGCCAGGATGGTGAGATTCCGTGTATCAGACACTAGACATGGAGTTCTGGTGTGGCAGGATAGTGTGCTGGAGAACAAGGTCGGTAGTTTAAACCCACCAGCCACTCCTCAAAAATTCTATACAAGGTCACTATGAGTTGGATTTGACTTGACAGCACTTAACAACAAAACAACAACTCTGGACATGTTATCAGAAGAAACCAGTCCCTGGAGAAGGTATCACAAAGTAGACAATCAGTGAAGAAGAGGAACACCCTAATCAGACAGATTGGCCCAGTGGCAGCAGCAACAGGCTCAGGCATTATCAGCAATTGTGTGAATGGGGCAGGACCAAGCAGTGTTTTCTTCTATTATGCATAGGATCACTATGGTTCAGAATCTAACTAATGTATAAGGTGAATTTTCAGATTCATTTCAGTTTACTTTTTAACATGGAAATTACTGACATGAGGGTCTGCAATACTGATTACTACTTACAACCACAGATGCAGCTATACATTATTTAACCACTTTTGATGAAAATAGACAAAGATAACTGTTTTCTCTTTTCTTAAAAAAGATAGAAGTAATTGTTTATGGTGTATACTGTAAGCTACCTTTTACTTATGATGAATTATTTGAATAAACAATTCCCATTTTATAAATGAGGTAACTTACACTCAGAGGCTCATGTCACACAGTAAATGGCACGTTAAAATTCCAACCTGTCTGTATGACTCCACTGTTAAAATATTTCTATTAAATTCAAAAATATTTTATTAAATCCATGCTGCCCATCACTATAACTCAACCAACATTCTGGTTTTTAAACACCTGTGTATGATATGAGTCCTGGTGTGGTGTTGCAGGTTAATGCTTGGAACTGCAATGTTGGTTTAAACCGCAAGGTCAGCAGTTCATGTTCACCAGCTGGTCCTTGGAAACCCTATACAGGGCTGCTGAGTCAGAACAATCTCAACGGCACTTAACAACAATAATATATGATATGGACTCCTGGTGTGGCAATGTGGGTTCAGTACTGGACTGTGAGCCACAAGGTTGGCAGTTCAAACCCACCAGCTGCTCCTTGGAAATCCTATTTAGGGTAGCTATGAGTCAGAAATGACTTGGATGGCACTTAACAACAACGACAACATGTATGATATGATAAATCTCGGTACATCTACTTCTGAATTCTGGGCTTGGTTCTGAAATGAGAATTCTTGAACTACTTAGCTTGGATCTTAATTTTCACAAAGTTTCACAGAATTAATTCTAAAAATATCCTTTACAGCATATAGATTTGCCTCTATCCTACTCACTTTCATGTATCTCCTTTCACGTCATGATCATATAGGACATGAACTTCCAAATCCATGTCAAAAACACTTTCAAATTCCCTACCTGATTTCTCCACTGAAAATCTAACCTAAAACCAAACTAAACTCACTGCCGTCGAGTTGATTCTGACTCAAAGCAACCCTGTATTGGGTTTTGGAGGCTGTAAATCTTTACGTGAGCAGAAAGCATCATCTTTATTACACAGAGTGGCTGGGGGGTTTGAACTGCTTACCTGCGGTTAGCAGCTCATTACTCATCCTACAGCACCACCAGAGCTCCTTGAAGGGTTAACAGACATCTTAAACTTAAACATTTCTAAACCAGAATTTTTCATTTCCCACCCACATTATCTAATTCATCAAGTCTTATTGTTTCAACTTCTAAATTATATTCCAAATCCTTTAAAACCTTGGAAACCCTATACAAGGTTACTGTGAGTCGGAACCAACTTCACGGCACATAACCACCAACACTACCATTAAATCTTGTCTACATTTTCACTATTGCCACCTTAAAGTCTTCATTATCTCTTTTCTGCATTATCGCAACAGCTATTTAACTGGTTTCTCTGCTGCTACTCTTGCCCCTAGAAGACAAAATAATATTTTAAACTATAAACCAGGCCCCTCCCCTGCACTTCCAGTAAAATCCAAAGCCTCTTCATAATCTGGCCTTCCTTATCTCTCTGAAGTCATTGTCCCACTTCATGCTTGCTTAGGGCCATTTACCTGCTATTCCTTCTCTGTGACTAATCTTCCTCCTGGTCTTTATGTGGTTGGTTCCATCCTATCTAATCATATCATCATATCTAATACCACTCCTGCTCTGTACTCCCCATTATTCTCTCATCCATTGTCCTGCTTCATTTCTTCATAGTATTAAAAAATAGGTAAAATGATCTTATTGCTTTTATCTATCTTTCATACGAGGGTATGAGAATAATGACCTTGTCTTATTGTTGCTATACTACCAGAGTCTAGGGTCAAATATTTGTTGAATGAACCCAAACCAGGCACAATACAGATTGTGGAAATGGGAGGGGGGGGGCTTCAAATTTCATTAGGATTTATGAAAGACCATACACATAAAGTTTATCCTCAGATTACTATACTATACATTGCAGGAATAAAAACAGTAAGGTGTTTATCGTCACAAAACAACTAATGTGTACTTTAAAAGGAAAGTTTTATCATTTCTTCAGTTAGTCTAAATGAAGTATATCTTAAATCAGTCTATTAAAATGTTATTATATATCCTTGCCAGATATTAAAACACAAAGATCTTAAAATTAAATTTTTATCTAGCATTTCTACTACTGTTTTACAATAGATTTTCCCTCCCAACACAGGATATTAAACTTAGAATAAAATTAACTGAAGACTACCAAAATTTTTACTACTGCTGAGAGTGTGGTAAAATAACTACAAAAATGAATGTTATATTATACTTACACTTGGTCCTTGGGTTTCCTGCAGCCATTTAAGAATGTGGGTCAAAGAGAAAGTTTTAAACCAATTAAAAATACTGTGTCTCAAAACACATTATCTTAATCAAAGCAACTATGGAAAGACTACATCCCAAATTTAATTTAAATTAAATACAAAAATACCCTTTGTTGTTATTTCAAAAAGGCTGTTTAAAAGTTCTCAGCTTTTCAACTTATTTTCTTTTTTCTAATCAATTATAATGAGATAAAAAAACACACACCGTAAAATTCACCTATTTAAAGTAGACAATTCAATTTTTTTGGTATATATTCACAGAATATATTGAATATTGTACAACGTTCAATTTAATTTTAAAATGGTTTTTATTTAAATTTAAATGGTTTTAAAATTTTTTATATGTTGTTGCTAAGTTGGCTCCAACTCATAGCAATTCTGTATAAGGTTTCCAAGGAGTGGCTGGTGGGCCTGAACTGCCAACCTTATGGTTAGCAATCCATTGTTTATCCTACAGGACCATACCACAACCCCTAATTTTTATAGTCACGCTTTTATATAAAATCTGAAAATACAAAAAAAAGATAGACTATTTTTTTTACAATCATATTAACATTTGGGTATATTTCTTTCTTGTATTCTTCCTTTTGTACAGTTTTTAATGTGGATTTTGAGTTCATATTTTTATGCATAACTGCATTGTACATGGAATTTACATCCCCCTTTATGCATAATTACTTTTTGTACATTATTATAAACTTTTAAATAAGAATTAATCACTAAAACTTATTGAATGCTTTCTATTATCCAGGCATGTCCTAAGCAATATTAAATATTAAATTCCTAAGTAGCTTAAGAGATTAATTCCATTTAACAATGAGAAAACTGAGGTATTGAAAGACTAAATAAATAACAGGTCCAAGGCAATACAGGTAGTAAGTGGTAGACCAATATCTATAACACAATCTACTGCATAATAATCAAATATCATATGGCGCTGCAGGATAATGTGCTGGACTGCAAGGTCAGTTTGAGCCATAAGGTCAGCAATTTAAACTCACCAGCTGCTCCTCAGAAACCCTATACAGGATCGCTATGAGTTGGAAGTAACTCAACGGCACTTAACAACAATTACGAACCACAATACACTCAACTATTTCTTAAATGTTAGACATTTAAGTTTTTTTTTTTTTTTTCTTTAAGAGTTTTAGTATTATAAATAAAGCATATATAAATATCTCTAGATTTTTTTTTTTTTGTCAATGTCTTATGGGGCTGTTAACTGCAAGGTCAGTGGTTCAAACCCACCAACTGCTCTGTGGGAGAAAGATCAAATTGTTGGCTTCTATAAAAATTTAGTATCAGGAACTCTATGTAGGGTCACTGCAACTCAATGGCTGTATGTTTGGTTTGGTTTTTTGGTACCCTTAGTAAAAAATTAAAAATAATTCTGTTGAAAAGCTCCTGATAAATATGGTAAAAATGCTTTCCGAAAGGATGTTCACAGTCATTAGTAACTAGAGTACCTATTTCACAATAGCTTCTTTTTAAATTTTTTAAATCTTTGCACATGGCTGCTTTAAAGTTACAAATTTTACATTTACCATAAATGTTGGAACATTTCTTTATATTTCTGCATCAGTTTCGTTTCTTCTTCTGTGAAAAGTATGACTTCATCTTGAAAATTAAGTTAAGAACTGTTTTAAACCTCAACTGATACTGTAAAATGCAATTAAAACACAAAAGTTCCCTATGGCAAACACCTGACTTATTAATATTAAAATATAGCATAACTCTAACCAGAAATATAAGTACAATTTTTAAAATAAACCTTTCATTGGTTTTTGAAAATAAGGAAACAGTTTTTCACTCACTTTCATTCTTGCTTCTTAAATATTTTCAGGACCAACCACTAAACTGATTTAAAAATACTGTGTATTATGTATCCTTTCTTTTGATGACTAAATAAATAAATAAGATGAAAATATTTCCCAGTTATCACAAAAGGATATAATAAGGGTTTTCTAATAACAAAGAAGCCATCCGGGCTTCTTTAATCATAGGGCGAGCCATTAGTGTTCTTCGCCTCCAATAATGCTAAGAAAAGGAAAGAAAAGATAATTTAAAAATATGAAGCCACATATGATAAGGAAAATAAGTTAATATTTTATTTAGGGATTAAGGTATTATAATAAAGTCTTACGTGATCTCCTGTTCCAGCAAGATGAATACATACTGGTCTGTATTTGCTATTCCATTCTTTAGGCACAATAAATTGGAATCTATTTTAAAAAAATCAGTGAAATTATTCTTAAAAGGCATTCATTGCATTTTTTTAATGTGTTATAATTAAATTGTTTGAAATGATTATTCAGAGTTTGAATACTCAAATTACAATTGACTATAAGTTCAAAGGAGTCCTGGTGTGGTGCTGTGGGTTACTGCATCAGACTGCAAAGCTGTTTGAACTGCAAGGTTGGAGGTTCAAGCTCACCAGCTGCTCCTTGGAAATACTATACAGGGTCGCTATGGGTCGGAACTGACTCAACGGCACTTTACAACAACAACAACAACCCCTTTGTAGGAGTCCTGGTGTGGAGCTGTGGGTTAAAGTGTCAGACTGCAAAGTCATTTGAACAGCAAGGTCAGTGGTTCAAGCTCACTAGCTGCTCCCTGGAAACCCTACACAGGGTTGCTGTATGTCTGAATCAACTCAGTGGCACTAAACAACAACAAATAACTTCAAAGATACTACACATTTACTTTGTGTTGTTGTTAGTTGCTTTCAAGACTACTGAACACACGGTGACTTAATGTATACAGAATATAACTGTTCTATAGGAGTCCTGGTGTGGTTGTTGTTGTTAAGTGCCATCGAGTCGGTTCCGACCCATAGCGACCTTGAACAGGGTTTCTGAGGCTGCAAATCTTTACGGGAGCAGAAAACCCATCTTTCTCCTGTGGAGCAGCTGGTAGTTTCGAACTGCTGACCTTGCAGTTTGCAGCCCGATTTGTAACCACTACTCTACCAGAGCTCATGGGATAAAGCACTGGACCTCAAGGTTGGTTTAAACTGACAACTCACCAGCCACTCCTTGTAAACCCTATACAGGGTTGCTATGAGTAAGAACCAACTGTTGTTGTTAGGTGCCATGGAGTCAGTACTGACTCACACAGCAACCCTATGCACAATAGAAAGAAACACTGCCTGGTCCTGGGCCAACCTCACAATTGTTGCCACGCTTGAGCCCA